ACTGTGGGAGAAATGTCATCGGGACTCAGATTCCTCCTAAAAGGTGCACAGATGGTCTGACATCATCCCAGATGTCTCTGAGGCAGCTCTTTGACCCACGACAGGGCTGAAGGCTTCCAGCTCTCCCACAAGAGTGTGTCTCTTCCCATGCTTTGCTCCACCAGTGTTTAAGCAAAGTGAGGTCTGTCAGAGCTAGCCACAAGGGCTGGGTACAAAGGTGACAATTCACAGCTGGACCAGAGTGCATCTGAGGGAATTCTCCTCTTTCTGCTGTTGCTGGGGGTCTTGCAGCCCTGAATCATCTTGACCATGATGCAGGGCCCTTAGCAAGCAACAAAAACAAAAGCATCAGTTGTGTCATTTGTCCAGGTTTGGTGTGGAGCTCACAACAAGGACCGGAGAAGTGGCTGGGAACTGGCTTGTCTCTGACCTTGTAGGCTTGAGAAGATGCTATTTGCACGTTGGTCATTTAGACAGTGTGAGCCCTTCTTCATCTTCTTATGATTTCTAAAGAACAGAGATAAACTGTGATCGCTCCCTAGCAGCCACAGTCATCCCACTTGCCCTCAACTATAGACCATGACTCTTTTGCTCCAGATTTGTGCAGTCAGGCTCCAGGGAGTAGTCCTGGAGGTGGCTGTTTCAAGCCTTATGTTCCAGCTGTGCTGACAGCTCATTCACCAGCTCAGCTTCTTGACTGGAGTGGCAGTTCAATCTCCACCTTTCAGCTCAATTTCATCTATGCTAATCTGAGGGAAACAGAGGAATCTTCCTCCACTGAGCTATCCTCTTTTAAACCCTCATTTAAAACTTGTCTCTGACAGCTATAAACCATTCCCAGCTGGCAAAAATGGATTTATTTTCCAGCTGCTCTGTATTGCTACTTCCTGACATCCTCTTCTTCAATCCTTGCTCCACCCTCCACACAAAAATGTTGGGAGAAGAGTTTCACCTTACGGCAGAGAACACAAGGGCACCGGACCCATAAACTGGACTTCTCAGCTTGAGTGGGTTAGATCTGTGCCCAGCTTACCCTCAAAATGAATGTCATATGCACAGTGGTGGAGAAACGATCCGGTCCTCACCGGGGAAGAAATGGTTAATATTCTGCCTTGCAAGAGAGCATCTTTGGCACAAGTTTCACTGCAATGACTCACTGGGGCCAGGCGGGGAGTGGAAGTGCAAAGACCCCATCGACAACAAAGCAGCTTGGGAATCCCACGACAGCCTCAGCCCTTGGCTCCCCGGAGCCAGGAGAAGTTCCAGCTGTGGCCTTACAAGGCCAGAAGAAAAACCTGCTGCTGTGTCCCAGCTGCCAGACACTCTCTGCACGAAGAGCTTTGCAAATCCTTGCCTGGGGGCTGGTGGTGGCTGGAGGAGAAGGCTGGGCACCAAGAGCACTCAGTCATAGTTGCATACATAAGGATTTCAAGCAGCACACTTTTTCCGAGATATTCTCCTTCTTTAAAGCTGATTTTGGTTGCCAGCTCCTGAATCATATCCATCCCTCCAGAGGGAAGTCACGTCTCTCTCGCAGACTATTTATGGGTGAAGAATATCAGTAGCAAAGTGTGTGTTGCCACCCCGTGAGGACTGCAGTCCTTAGGATAAGCCTGGAGGTTCTTATCAGTTTGGAGGAAAGATGGAAACACATAGGATGAGCCAGGCAATTCAAAGCACTCTGAGAGAGATGGAGAGACAGTTCAGCTCCTTTTGACTCCAGTAGGCACTCTAATGTTCAGGACCGGGCAGGATTAAGTCTTGAGGTGAGTCCCACCTTCTCTATAACTGAACTGCTCGGTCTTTTGGAGGTAATGCTGGGAGATAGGCACTTCCAGACGATGACTCAGCCCATCCTAAACCTTATCCAAAACAGATGGGATGGATTACTCTCTGGAGGTGTCTTCCCCTGCCTAGAGAGGGATTAGATGCAGTGCCCAGCTTTCTGATGACAGTGTTAGGAAAGCTAATCCCACCCTTCATTTTTGCTGAGGATGACGTAAAAGCTACATGAAAACGAACCGTAGAGCTTCGCTTCTTCTGTTTGCTTTGGAGCCAAACCATGTGCACACACGCACACTTGTACATACGTTTGTGTGTGTATCTATATATACACATATATTACATAAATTGAAAGGATTTTTACTGAAGTTGCAGAGGCAAGCACGTGATAGAGATGCCAGGATCTAGGCTGTCTGTCCATGTGGATTAGAATATGACAGAACAGTTTCCTGGGAAAAACTGACTCAAACTCCATGGAAGTGACTTAACTGTGACAAAAATAAGGTACAAAAAGGATAAAGAGAATCAAGGAAGGGGAGAGACAGATGGTCCCAGCCCCACATTGGCCCCTTTGTGAGGGTGTGGGGAAGTGCTGTGTTTTCTTGGGAAATCTGCTTCAGATCCCTCCTGAATCCTTCTGCAATTTAGCTTGGATGCTGTGTACAACAAACTACACTGTTGCTCTGTGTTGCTTCACCTTTTCCTTTTCTTCTGGCTGAACAACAGCAAGAATGTCAAAAAGAATTTATGAACACACTGGATGTGAGACACCATCTCTCCACGAGAAGGCCACAGCAAGATTATTTTTCTTCTTGTCCTGTTCTCAGAAATAACAGAGCTATCTGGGCCCAATAAACCCCTCTGAGAAAAGTGCGGTTTGACAAAATTGCAAAAAACTCAAAAGAGGGTTTTTGTGATGGGAAAGGTCAAATGGTGTTAATTATAATCAAAGCTATAATTTGAACAATCAGATTTGGTGAGTTTTGCTCCAAATCATTGTTTCTAGGCATCTCTGTTTCTCTCCCTGGCCTCCCCTGATGGGGGGGTTGGAGGAGGGATGTTGCACACAGGGAGCTGTTGTGATCTCACTGCTTCTTGCTTTAACATCCTGACCCACGTTTCCTTCAGCAGAGATGGCCATGAAAGCCCACCTGATCACACTCACTCAGGATAGAAACTTCTCTGTTTTCATTCTCTGCTTATTTTGATCCTTTTTTTTAAGAGAAAAATGCAAGGACCACTCTTGTTATCATAGAATAAATCCATGAGTCCTTTTCTCCACTTTGGGATTGCTGCTTTGCCCTTCTATGCATGGACGAGAGATGATTTGATCTACTGGATTGAGAACTGCAAACTCCAAGTTTTGGAAAGCTCTCCATTTGTGGCCTTGACATCATTATGAAAAGTCCATGCCTTTGTTTTCAGTTCTGTAAAATGGGACTGTGAATGTTTGAGTGTCCCTCTGCAGGGTGGTGTCACGTGTTATCAGATGCATTTTTAAAATACAAAGGCTATTGTAAAAGAGGAGGTGAAAGAGCATAAAACGTTCCCTTCCTTTTCAAATAACTGCTAGTTAGCTTGTCTTAACAAGCTCTTTGTGGACTAGTATACTGAAGAGAAAACTTTAATATTTGGGCAAGCATTTAACTTCTTGAAGGTTTATTTTGTGCACATCATTAGGTGAATGTAGTGGGATTTTCCCCTTCTCTTCTGAAAGAGTATCTTCCACCAGCATTGGATTTAGTATTCTTATATATGAAATGTTCCTAAAATGCATGCTGGTGAGACCTGGAGCAATGTTCCAGCTAAGGAATGGAGGGATGAATCCTGTGATCCCTACAGGAGACAGAAACAAGCACTGAGGGACTCCAGACCTGGTTCCAAAATGTTTGAAGCTCTGAGAAATATTCCCCTGAACTTCAGAGGGACTAGAAGCCAAGTCACCAGTTGGGAGGATTGGAGATCCCACTGCGGTGGGTAATTTGTTTGCAGTTGCATCATTGCATCATCAGCTTTGATGCAGAATCCAGAGGGATATTGATGACATGGCTCGTTCAGTCCTTTAAGCTCCTTTCCAAACTGTCTTTGCATAGCAACATCAGGCCTAGAAATAGGAGGTTTCCAGCACTGCTGATTACCTTTGTATTTCTTTCTAAATAAGCCTTTACATATTTCCTTGCCAGGCATGAGAGAAACCTTTAAATGCTGATGAATTCACCCTGCATAGCTTTCCTTGGAATCTGAAAGGCTTAATGATGGCCAAGAAGGGGCCAAGTTGACAGACTGCTGATCCCTCTACTTATAGATATTGCCTTGTATTCCTCTCATGTGTTTTGCATTCTAATTTAGGGTACGTTTGCATGGACAGAGGGTGTTTTTGGGCATCTTCTCTTGGCTGGTCTTACTAAGCTGAAGCTTGTCTCCATGTGAACAAAGCTGCATGGCTGCTAAATCAAAGTTGGTCACACTGGGGAGAGCTGGACACGTCTGCTGTCTTCCTGTTAGCTAATTCCTTAGTGGTCTGTCTTTCCCATCACCCAGGAACCTTAACCTCTCCTTATGAATTCTTCTTGTTACCAGCTTTCCTAGGTAAAAAAAACTGACTAGCAGGTAGAATCTGCAATGACTAGTCAGGGCTTCTTTTTATATCTTATTAATTTTAACATATCAGTTTAAACACTTGTTCATTGCTGGAACTATTTATTAGAGTACGCATATACTAATTGTTATCCTAATTATGAATAGAGCACGTGCATCCTTCACATATTCAGAGGTATTTCAACTTCTAAGTAACCTTTTTACCTATATGCCACTTACAGCTTACTGCAGGTCTGGAGGGCTTTACAAGTACTCCACAAAGTTTTTGGTAACAGTAAATGTATTCAGTATCCCCTAGGTCAGAGCATGGTTCTCCAAGTCACTGGGAGCTTTTATCCTAATTGTCATGCACTGTTTTTAAGCTTAGTTAGGTCTAGACGTGCATGTCAAGTCTTTGCAAGATCTTTTGAGCAAGAGTTGTTCTTTCATCTTATATTTGCATAACACCTGGCACCAGAGAGACAAGGCCTTGAGACAGGAAATGACATCTCAATTTTCTTCATAAGCCAAACTGGCAGTGTCAAAATATCTATAAGATCAGTAAACATCTTAAGAATTAAGTTGTTGCCCACTAAAGCAGTGACAGTTCTGCTACTGTTCTCTTTCTCTTCTCTTTCTAGACCAAAGAAGCTCTCTTCACAATTCTCCAGGACCTAAGGCCTGAAGACCACTTCAATATCATTGGCTTTTCCAACCGAATAAAAGTCTGGCAGCAGGACCAGCTGGTGCCAGTCACTCCAAATAATATAAGAGATGCCAAAAAGTACATTCATAACATGTCGCCTACTGGAGGTATGGTCCAGAGATATGAATGAGATTAATTTTGCTATCCGATTAACTACACCAGAATGGGGAGTGTTGAATGTCATCCAGTAGCATGTAGCAATAAGAAGATACTGAGTCATGGGACAAAGGGAGCTCTTCCCCACCTCCAGTCAGGGTTATGTGACAGAAGGATATGTGCCTCTTATTCAGCATACATAATGAGGAGGTGTCCCCAGTTCTGGTCATATGACCTGATATACTTATTAAAGCCAAGTTGGGCCCATTTTCCCATTTATTTGGTGAAACATTCAGCCTGAGAAAGTTCCCAAGGTTGTTTCTTGAGGAAAAAATACCATATACTGGTGAAGGGCACACAGGGCCAGTAGTTGTGCAGTTTCTGAAAGTCTATGTAAAAGCAGGCACATGGTTTTGTCTTGGCTGGGAACTCCAGGGACAGACAAAATCACAGAATCACAGAATCACAGAATTGTCAAGGCTGGAAAACCCCTTCGAGATCACCAAGTACAGCCTATGACTCAAAACCACCACATCAGCCAGGCCATGGCACTAAGTGCCACATCCAGCCAAATCAGTAGAGTGACCACAGTGTTTCTGCTGTATTCAAAATCACTCTCTGATACTGTTTGCACCCTCTCCGTGAGGAAGGGCTTCCTGAGATCGAACCTAAACCTCCCCTGACGCAGTTTCAGGCCACCCAGTGTGGGCTGTAGGTTTGTCTTCTGCAAGAGCTGCTTCCTCACCTAGTACTATCATCTTCTTGTCTCTGCCAAAGAGCAGATAGAATGACATTTAAGAATTTCTTGTCCTTTTTTACTTGTGCCTTATTGTCAGAGGGGAGGAAAAAGAGAGGAAAGGAGGAGAGGAGAACCCAAAACAGTGGCAGAGTGAAGACATGATTTTGAATTTGATTCAGTGGTCTTCTGTGAGACACTAGCATTAAAAAAACCCCAACAAAACAAGCCACAACATAGTGAGGTTTGTAATCAAATATACTTTGCAGCTGTGCCTGTCCTAGCTGAGCACCCCCCAGGTAAGGAGCAAGCTGCAAAATAACCAATGCAAATCATTCCCCATGCAAGCAGTCACAGCTGGCTGAAGGTCAAACTGGGCCTTCCCATGGCTGCCCCTGAGCAGTGGCCACTCCTAGCAGAGGAAACTCTGTGATGGAAAAACACAGCAAACAGGATGGTTTGCTATACTGTTTGGATTGTGAGAGGAAGAGTTTAGGAAGAGGTCAAGGGACCTGCCCATATAAACAATTACCAATAGTGGGACTAAACTCAGAGGACAAAGCTTTTTTACTCTCAGAGTACCAAAAGAGATGTGTAGGAACCAGCTGAGTTTGCCCATGAAAGTGTCAGAGAACAAAAGCTAAAGGAAATGCTTAACTCGGGTTCAACAGGGAAGTGCAGTGATTTTCCACTACAGGCTTGCAGTACTTCAGTTTTGGCTAACTCTGCATTCTCCCTATAAAGGTGCTGTTACTTGAGTATCTTCCAGTGAATGTCAATGCACTCAGGTTCACAGATAACACACGTGAAGGACGTGCTGTTCTTACACCTCTGTGTCATACTCACACACCAAAGAAATTGAAACAAAATATTGATGCTAAATATTTGTGCGTGTGACAAAAGGCAGTTTTCAGTGCTCAGTAGCTCTGAGTGGCTGGGTTTGAAATGACACTGTCTACTGCATAAGATGGTTTTCTTTTTTTTCTGGGGAAAAATTTCTTTTGGAAATTTTTGATCTGGTTGGAGAGTATTAGGATATTTAAGTGCAAGGTTTTGGTTCAAGATCATTTTGTGAAAACACTGTCTGAATTTTAAGGACTTTTCAGAAGTCTTAGCCCCTTTCCTAGCACAAGAAATACATGGAACAAGAAGTTGCCTTTACTTATCTTCCTGCTTTTTTTTTTTTTTTCTGAACAAGTAGTAGGTTTGAGTCATTTTCGTGACTATTCTTCTAAAGTACATCTATTTCCTCATTTATTTTCTCTTTTGTCCCTCTCTCCCCAGTTCAGGCCAATTGTTTTGTGAAAACACAATTCTCAGCTAACAAAGCCATTTCTCTTTCCTTTAAACTTTGTTAGCCCTTGGGGTTTGAAGAACAAATCCAACCACTTGTTTTCCCATTTGAGGGCTTCTTTCTCAGACTCTTCAAATCTCATGCCCTTCAGACATACTGAGCAGAACTTGTTTTCCCAGTTCAGATGCCACCTGGGAGAGTCCCTAATTAAATTTAACTGGTTTGGTATCCAGCAGAGGATATGGTATGTGTGGTGAGTCTGCTTACCACGGCTGACTGTCGTACCTTGAGACATTCAGTTTCACGTAACACTGCAATTCGCAGTTCAATTCATAAACTGGTGCTGAGTAATAGAGCTGAACTGAGTCAAAGGGCTAGTGCAACCTCCTGTAGAGAAAAGGAACATCCTGATGTATGGAGGTGTTGTCATTGTACTAAAGCGAGCACAGGAAAACAAATTGTACTGCTCTTGGATGGAGAAATGAACTAATGGTTTTGGTACCTTCCCAGGGACTAATATTAACGGTGCTCTCCAAACTGGTGCAAAGCTGCTAAACGATTACATTGCTCAGAACGACATCGATGCCAGGAGCGTCTCTCTGATCATCTTCCTCACAGACGGGCGTCCCACTGTTGGGGAAACACAGTCATCCAGAATTCTCAGCAACACCAAAGACGCCATCCGTGATAAATTCTGCCTCTTCACCATCGGCATTGGTAATGATGTGGACCACAAGCTTCTGGAGAGGATGGCGCTGGAGAACTGTGGCATGACGAGGCATTTCCAGGAGGATGAGGATGCAGCCAGCCACCTCAAAGGGTTTGTTCTGCTTTTTCTGTGTTTATATCTGCATTGGATCCCCTGGGCAAGGGTGTTGGGAAGGAAAATCATCTAAGGAGACATCACAAGTGCTTCTCTGAGGCTCAGCTGTGGCTGAGAGAAGCAGAATATGCTCAGATACTGAGGATGCCCACCTAGAAATTGTTTTCTTCCTAGCAGACCACTGTACTGGAGTTTCCCAGCCCCTCAGGACAAGGCATTTGCGTACCTAATTCAGGGAGTTGTTTTGAGCATGCACACCTGAAGAGATGGGAGGCATGAGCGCCACCTCTCCACAGGTGAACGGAGGGAAGAAAGGACTCATTGCTCACTTCAAATAGCCAGCAAAACCAGCATGGAGAGGCTCAGAAATGGATATCTCAGTTTGAGGCAGATAATTATTTCTTTAGTTTTTGAAAAAGATAAACCTATACCCAAACTCCAAAATATTTGACTTTGAAAAATATACAAGTCATCCCTAGCATGATCGTGTAGTTGCTTCATTCCCTCATTCCTTGTGACTCAAAGTCCTGACAAGTTTCCTGTAATCCTCCCTATTCAGTAGGACCAGAGAAGATAATCCACTCCGCGATCAGAGAGGTGTAATCCAATGGGATGCCCTAGTGAGAAACAGCAAAAGGATATCTGAGCTCTGTCTAAAATGTCAGGCAGCGTGTCAGTACTTCCAGGCAAAATTGTTTGGCATTCACTTCCAGAACACTGGCATTTTTAACCTCAGAAACCAAAAAGAGACAATCATTGAGGAGAGACCTCTCACCTAGCCAGGTTCTAATTCACCTCGAGTAATGAGACCACGCACCTTCCACTAGAGATTGGCTTCCCGTGGTGGTTATGAGTGAAGAGTGCCATCCTTTCAAAACAGATTTTGTAGATCTATCTGCCACTCTGCTCATGTCATTTGCATTTCAGAACATGCATTTTGGATAGTGAGTGGCATTCTCTGGCTGGCTGATGGAGCTGCAGGAACACCAGCACTGCAAATACTTGTTCAAACACCTCTCTCTGATAAACAGCTCACTGTTTATGAAGCTCAGGGAAGGCAAAACTGTTTGGCATCTGGTGCCAAATTTGTACGAAAAGGCACAATTATTTGCTGGAGGCCAACTCAAATCACTGTGGAGGGAAAATCTACATGGGTGCCAATGTAATTGCTGATTTTTGTGGTCAGTGAGTAGCATTTTTACACAGATTCTTCTTTTCATTGTACTATAAGACAGATTTCCTCCCTCACTCCACTATTTGTTGCACCCTAGGAGTTATTTCACTGAAAGTTCTCAGGTTTAATTCACTCGTGTTTTAAAATTCATCAAGGTCTCTGCATCAAAGACACTGAGTGCTGAGAGAGAGATTAAAATAGAGCCAACCAATTCAGGCTTTGGGTTTCGTTGGCGAGAGAATAAAACAGAAAGTATGACTGTAGCTTTCAGACAATCTGTTTAAGCAGATGTGAAAAATAAATGCAGCCTGAACTAAAAAAGGGCTGAGGCCAGTTCTTTGTTTGTTTACCCAGTTAGACTCAAATGACTTGCCAAGGGATGAGGAGTCTAGCATTTAAATGGGAAATACGGCATTCTTGGAGCAGTTTAGGAATATCCATGAAAAGCACATCGCTGCAGGGAAAAACACAGTACTGGAACCTTGGGTCTTGGTCCTTTGTAAAGGCTCTCTGGCCTGTCCAGTGCAAAGTATTCTCAGAAGTATGGTAGGTTATGTTAGTGAAGCATTATAGGGTTAAACTTTCTGGTTCCATGGAAGCCATTCCTTGCTCCAACAGAAGGTCAGCAACAAGGTAACAGTGCCAGTCCTCCTGTGTTTAGTAGTAAGGATTCCTTCATTCCTTGGAAATGTCCTCATTTATGGCAGCACAGTGAGTTTTTGTTTTTCTTTCTCCTCTGACCCTCAGAAAACCCTGTTCCTGCCTGTCCCACAGTGAACACCCCAAAACGTATCATCTAGGGCTCTTACAGTGATACAGATGCTTTGGTTCAGATACTCCCCAGCTTTGAGGGGCCTAGCATCTTGGTCTTACAGTTTCTGGCTCTGGAATACCATGCGCAATACCACTAGAAAATTGTGTGTACATTTTGAAATAACCAGGTTGCTTTTCATGACCGTGAGAAGCCAAGAATTTACTTTCATTGGACAGGCACACTTAAGTGGTCGCAAAAATCTCCTTGCAGAGCTCTTGAATCATAGTGGAAAGTAGGTGACTGCCAGACTATGCTGGGATGCTTCTGAACATACTCTGTCTAGATGCCTAAGAAAAAACTAAAATGAGGCAGAGAATAATTCTGGTTGCAAGGGACCTCTGGAGGCCATGTAATCCAGCTTTTTGCTCAGAGAAGAGCTAACTTCAAATATAGGTGAGGTTTTTCAGGGTCTTGTCCACTCAAGTTTTAAAAATAGCTAAGGATAGAGAATTCCCAATCTCTCTTGGCCCAGTAGTTAAATTTGGGTCCTGATAGCTCTCACTGCTCCTGAATGTCTTAGGAGACATATTAGATAGTCCAGCTGTGCCCTTGGCCATGTGTAAGTGTAAGAGTGTGAGCATGCACTTGGATGAACCGTATTAATGGTGAGAAATGTGACTTTGTTTAAGGTTCTATGATGAAATAGGAACACCCCTTCTCTCTGACATCCGTGTTGATTACCCTGAAGACAACGTGGAGCAAGTCACCCAGAACTTCTTCCCTAACTACTTCAATGGCTCTGAAATTATAATAGCTGGCAAACTCATCAATCGTACCTCAGATAAGCTCCACGTGGAGGTGACTGCTAGCAACTCCAAGAAGTACATCCTCCTCAAAACAGATGTGGCTATTGACCTGCCAAGAGGTGTCCCTGGCCTGGAAGATGGCAAAGGTGATAAAAATTACATTGAGAGGGCATGGAGTTACCTCACCATCAAGGAGTTGCTTAACTCTCGATTGAAGAGTGATGACAGCCAGGAGAAAGACTATTTGATGGAGAAAGCCAAGTCAATGGCTCTGGCTTACAATTTTGTTACTCCTTTCACTGTTCTGAAGATGAGAGAGGCTGGACTCCATTCAGAACCACCTCAAGGGGAGTTTATTAGCCCTTCTACTGATGGCATTGGTGAGAAGTTGCAGAGCTTGCAGGGACACAAAGCACCGCCAGGTATGAGGCAAAAAATAACCAAGTGGTGGCAAGAAATCTTTTTGCATAGGTAATATCTCAGGGCTGACTTTGGCAACAGGGATGATCTAGCCAAGGAACCAAATGGTGGTAAACAGAAAGCTGAGATTTCTGTATTGATTTTGCTAATTGTGGGCTGGGTAATCTTGAGCAAACCTTTTAGGCACCTGACTACCACACTGGAACCATTTAGTGCTTTATAAAAACTATTGAAGAAGAAATGGTATTCTAAATAAAGTTTAAAGTGGATGCATGTATAGGTTGCATAATCTCACTGAATAATATTTTTGGGAACATTGTTATACTATGGCTCTTTCTTCTGCTCAATAAATAATTATAACAGCCTTCCTTCTCCACTTTTAGGTATACACAGACAGCAAGATAAACAAAGAATTAAACTATCCAAAACTTCAGGTCAGTGCCCGTTTTCATACCTTTAATTATTCAAAATGTTAATGGTTGGTTTACGGCAACGAGTTGCATGCCACGGTGGCATAACCATCCTGATGGACCAGTCAAAATCCTGTTTAGTAGACCTGCAGAGTAGGAAGGAAAACGAAAACAAAACCAAAATACAGCGAGGATCAGTAATGAGAAGAAATGTGAGGAAATAGCAAGGCAGATGATCTGTAACACTTGATCCTCACGTTTCAGAGTTCTGTAGATTAGAGGAGAACAGGACCTACATTCTTTCTGTACTAGATCTAATCTGAAAAAAATTATCAAATAATGTTGCTGAAACATTAAAAGTGCTGTCAAAGAAAAAAAATGAATTCTATAGTGTTCTGCTATTTTCCTGTTGCTTCTGTACCTCTACTTACATTAAACACTGAAGAATAAGCCCAGATCAAGAATTTAGACTTGAATTTCACTGGATAAGGTCAAATTTACCTTAAAAACTAGGGACTTGTCTTATTATTAATAACAGCAACTATCCGGTAGCTGATGATAGGTCAATGTTTGTTGAAAAATTAAGGTCATGAGATTGTTTAAAATGTGCTGTTGACTGCTCCAGTCTGATACTGAGGGCCAGGAAGGTTCAGCATGAGATGTGCCCACACAGCAGCCCTTGGTTCGAGGATATATTTTTCTGCGGTGTGGGGGATGTAACCTCCCAACAGAGTATGGAGGAGTATAAAACACTTGCATGACAATTCCCATAAATCACTGAAATGATATTCCAGGAAGAAATCATCCTGTTTTTCACCTGGACTGCTTTGGGTTTTGAGTTTTCGTTGAAAACCTAACCCTCTTCTGTGAGAAAAACAAAGCAAAATTAAACAAACCTAGTGAAAAACAAAGCAAAACGTGGCATTTCCTGACAAACTTCATCTGACCCTCTAAAAACAACAAACTGGGATGTCTTAGAAAAAAACAGAACATGCTTTGAAGAGCAGTTTTGTTACATACTTGGACACTGCAGTTTTGTGTAAGTCTCTCACGTTTGTCTCTTTTTCCATGTCTTCTCAGCGGATGGAGACCCTCATTTTGTCATTGATTTTCCCTCCAGCAAGTTCTCTGTCTGCTTCAATATTGATGGAGAACCAGGGGACATTCTCCGACTGGTGTCTGATCATAAGGAATCTGGTGAGCAGCCAAGCAAAGCAGTTACTTATGGAGAAAAGATGAAGGGCAAAGCCAACTCTCTAGAAATAAGGCTAAGCACCAAGGTGCTTCAAAGGCAATAAAGTGACAGGAAATTGTAAAAAGTTGTTTTTCTGTCCAGGCAATGGAAAATCGGTGCACACCAGTTATCCAGCTCTAATCATCTGGTTTAGAAGGGAAAGTAAACTGTTTTGCTGTCCTGCAATTTTATCCTAGCTTGTGGGCAAATTCTCAACAAACCTAAGCAAAGAAGAGGTCTGATGACTGTTCCATACACAATTCACCTACAGAAACATTTGTCAACAGAGTAGACCTAACCATAAAGAACTGGCCTTTATGTGTATCCAAACTTTTTCCCAGTTCAGATCTTCATTGACTGGAATCAAGGGAACAGCAATTACATGTAAACACCCAAGAGACTGACTTGAGTGCAGGAGGACCACATTGCACCCCTTCTGTCCAGCTAGCTTGGAAAGCTCAGCTCCTGATCATTAGCCCAGCACGGTCTGAGGGTTGTGTTGCACCAGTGCTACAACAGCCACACCAGCTGAACAAACAGCCACATACACCGCATGCAAGGTTTGCATAAGCCAAGCAACCACCTCTCTATGAGACATTACACAGGGACTCATCTTTCTGGTGCAAAGACAGTGCATTTCATTGATGGTGCAACCTCGTCAGCCCTCTAGTTTCAAAGTCACAATATGCAATTAAATGATTTGGACTTGACAAAATCACTCTGTTATTGGAATTTTACTCTTAGAGTTTCGTTTGCTTGAGGATAGAGCAAAGTACCCAGCCAGGCTAACCAAGCACTCGGGCTGTGTCAGTGAAGAGACTACCAACCTGGTCACCGAGTCATGAGAGCCTTGAGAAAACCCACACGATCCAGGATCTGCTTTTCCCAAGCCAGTCTGATCCTCAGGGGCCCAAACAGTGGTCTGATCCGATCTGGAATTCTAAGCAGGGCAGCTAATAAGCAGATTATGTCCTAGGCAGGGAGACGGTGGGAGGAATGGGTGTCAAAACCAGAGACAATGCACAGACTTGTTTTACAAAGACGACGGATAACCCCACAATGAAGTTTTATGAATTGTGTTCTGTGTGGCAGTGGTCTAGTCTCCATATTTCCATGTTCATGCCTGCCTTAGTGAATAAGGCCCAGTTCCTGGCAATGTTTCCGGTAAACTTCTTTCACAGACTGTTTTTGCTATTGCTTGAAAGCCATTTGTTATGGCTGAAATGCAGAAAGAGCTTTAGGAAAACAGGTTCTGTTTTCTGTAGCACTAACCCATTGAATCTATGAAGACAGAAAGGAGAAACCCCCTTGAAATGATGATCTTTGGAGATATTTCATCTCAGTGTTGATGGCTTGGGGCTAGCTTGGGTTAGAGTCAAGCCTCCTTCTTTATTGCTACTGTCTAGTAGCTGTTCAGAGGCCTGTGGGAAGTGAGATGCTGTCTTACAGACAGTAAGTAACAAAAGTAATTAAAATGACTGGGATTCTTACTGTGGATATCTAGGCTTTATTTGACTTAGTGGCAGCTGCACCTTAGACTGCTTAAATGTGGAGCAAAACTGAGGGCAGTGGGAAAGGCAGCACTGGTGAAGCTGGAAATAAATAACCCAACAGGAGTGCAAGGTTTAGGGTCCTTTTCTGCAGTGACACAGGGAGAACCTGAATTTCTTATACTGCCACCTCAGGAGGTTCGGTACTTCACCTCAGACTGTCGCAGGTCAGGCTATTCCCTCTACAGGTCCTGCTCAGTCTTTAATGTGTTGGCCGAGGTTGTAACCATTACTTTGCAGCTTCCCAGGCTAATTGTCTCCTTAGGAGTCAGGTAGAAAGGGACATCAAACAACAACTGAGATTTTCTGAGACAGCAGCATTCAGACACACCCAGGGCCTCTTCCTAGAAGCTCAGTCACAGAATCACAGAATCAAAGGAGTTGGAAGGGACCTCTAGAGATCATCTAGCCAACCCTCACTGCTAAGATGCGTTTGCTTAGAATACATTACAGAGGATTGCATCCAGATGAGTTTTGAAAGTCTCCAGAGAAGAAGACTCCAAAACATCCCCGGGCAGCCTGTTCCAATGCTTTGTTACCCTCATAGTAAAGAAGCTTTTTTTTTTCCCAGTCCCTGTGCCAGTTGGTGGTATGAGGAAATGCAGGCTTTACAGAAGCTTTTCTTAGTCCTCCAAGATCTGGTATGTTTGCCCAGGTTTTGAGTTATGCATCAATAAACTGGTGATCTAGGTAAATCACACCACAGCTGGACAGGCTACAGCAGCCAGGAAGATAAATATTTGATTCACGTGGCTCAAAATCCCTGGACATCATTGTCTTGATCATAAGTAGGTCTTGGATGCAGCTTAGGAAGTGGCTGTGCTGAGGAGCAGATGATCCTATTCTGTAGCACTGGGTACACAATGTCAGGACTAATGGAGCTGGAGGCACCTGTCTCCAGGCAAGGCCAGTATTTTGGAGCTTGGGTGCTCTGTATTAGCTAATAATTTTTATAACAGACAGGTTATACTGTTTGGAATACTGGAAGGTGAAATAATTGAGCATGAGGTGGCAAATCTGCACGTCCTCTGTTGCAAGGCTTGTATCTTTGAGACAATAGACCTATTGTTGGTTCCAGCTTTCATTTATTGATCATTTTCCTGCAAGGTGTAACTGTGAATGGGAAATTAATCGGAGCTCCTGCACCACCCAACGGCCACAAAAAGCATCGGACTTACTTCAGCACCATCACTATCCTCAGCAATAAGCCAGAGAGATCTTATCTGGAGATCACACCCAAAAGAATCATCCTGGATGATGGGGAAAGACTTCTTCTGTCCTGTGATCGGAGTGCTGTTGTGAGAAGCAACAGCCTCGAGGTGTCCATCTCTGCCAATTCCAACATTACTGTGACGATACGAGACACAATCAGCTTTGTCATCCTCATCCACCATTACAAGAAGCCGGCCCCATATCAGAGGAATCACCTGGGTTTCTACATCTCCAACAGCAAAGGCCTCTCTTCTGACTCCCATGGGCTACTGGGTAGGTAACAGATTCTCATGGTCAAAGCTGTAAAGTGGACAAAAATAATCCTTCCAAACAGTTTTAAAGGACAGAGACAGGAAGCAATGAACAAGGCAGGTGGAGATTAAGTTCCCAGGTAATACTTGTACACCCACTCTCAAACAGCTTCTCTATTGCTAGAATCTCTAACCCCTCTTCCATCTTCTTCTGCATGAGCTATCTCCCACTGTCCTAGCTATGTGGCTGTGCCTTTTTTTCACATTTCCACTGTTTCCATGACTAATCCAGTTGTCATTAGAATACACTTGCTTGATTCTCCCAGTACAGACACAGAAAAAAACCATTCCACAAGAATCCTGAATTAAGCACCGATAAGAGATTCTCAGTCGTCCTAATTCAGAATAACCCAGCTGCTAATGTGCTCTCAGGGACATAGCAAAGGAAGCTCTGAATCTCTTTAGGCAGAGAGGACAGTTGGCTGAGGTCTTGCGGATTCTGAAAGAGAGCTCTAGTCCCAGAGCTAGCACATTGCCAGGCATCATTGGCTTAGCCTTCAAGTACTGCATTTGCACATGTCCAGAGAATTTGTTTTTGCGCGACTGAACTGTTAATACCTGAGCCTGATTGAGATCAAAAGACATTGGTACTTTTTGTGGCCTCTTTCTTTCAAATGTGAAGTGGAAGAAGAGCCATCCCCACATTTGGAGGGCAACTAGGCTTTAGATAGGCTTAGAGAACATCTAGATGGTTGAGTTCTTTCAGCCTAAGAAGTGGTGATATTTATGGACATCTACAGGTGCAGAAATCCAAGATTGAAGCCACAATTTCCACAATGTTCAGGCACCCTCAGGTTATGTGGGAAATGACCCCTCAGGAGGAGGGTTTTTTTTAAGGCCACTCGCATGCACAAATGTCTAAATCCACACTTAGGTTTGGTCTAGAAGAGCTTGCCCCCAAGAAGGCAAGGGAAGAGAATTTGGAGCTTCAGGCCAAGATCCTTTTTCTGCTTGCTGGTGGGCATTGTGTATCTTATTATCCTCTAGTAACTTGTGGCCAGTAGAAGGGAACTTACTATTAGCAGCTCAAAAAACTCTTTAACTAAGCCAATGTATCTTCATGAGTGGATAAAATAAAAAGGGTTTTATTCTACTCTCTCTCTCTATGTTTGTGGGATTTAGAAAAGAATTACAGGATGTAGATTCATCCTGCTATTGTGAGAAGCCTTTTACAAGCCCATATGCAAAGAATCCTCAAAATATGGCTTTTCAAAAAAAAACCCCACAACCAACCAATTTATAAACAGGTACAAAACATCCAGTCATGGACTCTATCTTGCCTTCCAGGTCAGTTCTTGAACTATGAAGTCAAGCTTCTTCAGGAATCCCTAAATACAAGTCATCAGCAGGTTGGTCAGAACCAAACTGAAGCATTAAAGCCAAACTCTACGAACACCCTGAAAGTGAAGGGCCGGCTCGTTCCTGTTGTGTGGAAGCAGAGGAGGATCTACAACGGCCAGCAGGAAGTTGACTGCTGGTTTGCCAAAAACAACGCGGACAAACTGATCGATGGGAGCTATAAAGACTATTTGGCTTCTCATCCTTTTGACACAGGGACCAACTTTGGGACAGTTAACAGCCTTTAAGGCCGATCATAGCAACGCGTTACGGCAGCATGTGTGACAGCGGTTCCCTTCTGACGGCTCTAGAGCTAGGCAACTTATGAATATTTCTTTACTTCTTGGTGCCAAAGAAACCAAGGCTTTTTGCCCTTGGAAATTAGCTGTCTCTCTTTCATGCTAGATGAACGTTGTTCATCAAATTCCTGAAGACAAGGAGGTTGGGGTGGGGGAAGGGTTGAGGACATGGCTAAAGGTGTGATGGGTGCTCTCCCAGTGGGAAGGGAGGGAGAAATGAGCCAGCACTCATGTGGACCAGTGCAGAGAGATGCTGAGCTTAAAATAAACCCACACAGGGATCTGTGCAATACCCTCAGGAGCTGATTTGTCACCCAGTGAGAGGCACGGATGATACAGCACAGTGCCCCTCTAGAGAGACAACTTTGGGTGATACGCCTCACAAAGAAGTGACTTGGAGCACCTGGTCCAACTGTGGTCCCTGGGGAAAGAAGAGGGAGAGAGGAAAGGTGGGTGGATATTCATCTGCAGCGACCCGTTAGCATCAAAGAGGTAACAAATCAAAACCTTAAATCAACAAGCCAGAGAAGGGTATTGCTTTCTTGGCTATTGGGATGAGGTCTGGATTTGCCACTAAGCCTGATGTTCCCTAAACAACTACGGACCCTTAAAACAGTGGTGAAAACCTTCATGTGGCGTATTGCTGTCTCAGTGCACAGGCTGCGTGCTTAAAAAGCACCTCCAGTCTTCAGCAGCAACTGAAGTCGTGCAGGATCCCATTCCGTGAAGCATCTCATTTAAATAACATTGCAGGTTTAGTGGTTTCTTAAGTCTTGACTCCCTCAGAGAGAAGCAAATTTCCACTATGAGTTGTCAACAGACCTACCACCTCCTTGAGCAGAACATCACTTCTGCTCAGCAGAGATTTAAATTCTCTAAAGGGTGATGAAGCAGCACCCACAACAGCTTATGACCCTACAAAGCAGCCTCTTGGATTTGGACTAGACATTTCTAGCTGCTTTTCTAATCAAGGAAGAAGCCTTTATTTACTCCAAATTGTAAAAAAAAAAATTCATTCCAACTTCCGCTGGCTCTTTCTCCTTCCTTACACTGCAAGGAATTTGTACGTAACAGGAATTTGGCAGCAGGAGGTTGCAGAAGGGTCTGCCAGCCACCCCCACCGCAGGTGGTGCTGCTCTGCAAAGAAACCTCCAAACCCAAACTGCAAGGCTGCGGTCTATTTTAAAGTGAGACATCACTGAATAATGCTATAGATCAGCCACAGGGGAGTTTGCTTAGTTCGCACTTGGCCAAAGAGGGCTTGGACAACCACAAAGACATTTACATGGCGAGGTCATATTGAGCTCATGTATACTCTGCCTTTCCAGAAATGAAAAGGGAGGCGAGTGGGTGTGGAAACATCTCCAGGAGCTAAATGATATCCATGTGTTAGGAGAAAACAGAGTTGCCAGAGACCTACAGAAATAGGTCCAATCTTGACTGATTCTTTGCATATTTTAAAATTAAATCATATTGTTTCTGTGGGAGCTCCAGCTGCTGGAGGTGAGGTGGTGGTTTTCCAGTCGCTTGATCATCTAGATAGTACTGGTAGCGCTGTGGCAGAAGAGCAGGTAGCAAGTGTGGTTGTTTATTTACGCCATGGGCTGTGGGGAAGAGGAAGACAGTCAAAAGCAACCAGAGAGCTTTAATTGCACTCTGGGAGATCCTTATAGAGAGCTCAGCGCAAAACTTATGCCAAGGCTCATGCTTTGGAAAAAAACATGACGAAAATGTCACTGCTTTAGGCCCAGCTATCTTGAGAAATAGTTGTCCTGCAAGGGAGAACTGAAGGCAAGACCTTCAGGCATGCAATAGCCAAAGAGATTAGTGCTCTGCAGTGTTCTTGTGGGCCAGAAATGAGATGAGAAAAAGCATCTGTGATGTCAACTTCTCTGTCCAAGATGACAGCAGGAAGATCACCCAGTCCATTTCCAAGTAACCTCCCATTTCACTAACATAGAATCAATAGGATAGTGGTAGTGAACTTGTAGACAGTCCAGGGATCTTCTTCATACTGTCCTTCCTGAAAAGATTTGAAATCTTCACTCTCCTCCCACATTTTGCTGCTCAGTTGCTAAGGGGAGCAATTGGCTGCAGCTCTCCTCTTGTCTCATCTCTCCTGTGTATAGATATGTGTACATACGCACACATACCGGTAATGCTTCAGGTGCATCATTACTCCTCTTCCTCCTCCTCCAGCCAAGGAAACGTACTTCTTTCAGGGCCTGAAAAGAACAATGATCAAGTCCAACTGCCCAGTCAGATGAAGCACCTGGAGCAATATACTCAAGTTCTCGTTAAGGCTCCAGTTATCCATTTCATAATAAATATTTTACAGTGAACATTGCAATGAAGCTTTCATTCGGCAAAGAAAAAGCTTTGAAGCTTATGTTGTGTATATTTTATGCTGCTGGACAAGCTCATGTTACCAGGTGGCTGAAAGAACTACTCACAAGTTAACAATAGGTCGGGAACCAATGTGATTTCAGCAGAAAACTTAAAAGGTCCATGATGTTCTTCAGCCTCTACATATTTGGTAGGAAGCAAGAAATGGGTTAGGTGAACAGACCTTAGGGTTCTACTCCCACGTTAAACTAAGAGTTTAACCACATAGAGAAGTCTGATCCAGCCTTTCTGTACAGTAGCACAGGACACTTGAAACCAGAGTTTGTGCTCTTGCCCTAAGAGCTGGAAGAGCAAAGTCAGGTAGGTCATGGGCTGTAAACTTCAGCTGCCCCATCTGTAAAGGGCCATCACAACAATGCCCTTTCTCAGAAGGAAAAATATCTCTAGGCTTGGTCCTCACAGTCGTTTGTAGTGGCACAGAAACACAATGCAACAACTGCCATACAGGCACACGTTTGTTCTCTTCTCCAAGGGTCACAGGGCACCTTGTTTTGCACCGATACGGTTCTAGACTATGAGCTGCTACGGTAGCTCAGGAATGAGAGATGAGAAATTATGTGGGAGTGCAATGGAAACAATCGCACACCACCGTGTCGGACAAGGGAACAGAACTCGTGAGTTTAAGGTTGCTGAAAAAAGCACCGGTTACACAGTGCTCAAGAGGGACAACCTCCCCGCCATGATGCTTGCCCTGATATTGCCTAGCATGAGCCTCCTCAGCCAGCCTCAACTATGGGCTCAAAAGAAGATCACATCATTCACCTTCCCTTTCAGGACAAGGACTTTACCGTGGCTGAACCTGCATTCCTCACACACTGCAGCATTGCACTGTGCAGCCCTATAACAAACAGGGAGATGTTTCTCATAGGGAAGCTGTTTTAATCTGGTTTTCAGTCATGACCTTAAGCAGAGAAGAGGTTATTCCAGCCCTTGTCAGTGCAGAACTCTGCCACACAAGCAAAAGTTGCATTGTGAAACTGGTTCCTCTAAGCAATATAAATGATCTATTCAGAGAGCTGTGTGCCATGTGTTCCAAAATCCATTTGACATGCAAGTATTTTGAGCCTTCATTAAGTAAGGAAGAAATAAAAAGGGACTTAATTTCCAGAAATACAGTGTAAGGCTGCACAGCTGCAAGCGTATCCAAGCTTGTCCAGTTCACTAAGGGGCCTGCAAGACTTTGATTTGCATCTAATGTTTCTAAACTACTTTGAAGTTGGGATGAAACTCCACCCTACAACAAAAACTTCACATGCTCTTAGCTCAGCTTTAAAAACAACAACAAAAAATCTAAAGCTTTCAGTTAGAAAAATCAAAATCTTTTATTTTCTACGCCTTAACAAGATGTTTTCTTCAGAAAAATATGACAGAGGGAAAGGATAAAAAACCCACCAAACTTCTGCCCAACTTCTGGGGAACTGTCTTGCAAGAAGCAAGGCTCGCCTGTGGCTCAACTGGGCTTGTGTGTTCTGGATGACTCTGAGGTCTGTCCACCGTTTGGACTCTATAGGGGTCTCATCACAGCTGTGTATCTGCACCCAGTCTGGGAGTTTATTATGCAGCTGCTTTCTCTCCCCAGGAGAGCTGCAAAGTGTTTTGCATGTTTGTGTGTTTAAAGATGGATATGGTCAACAAGAGAGCAAGGGCAAAGCCTTGCATCTCACATTTGGAGCGAGAGACGCCAGAATCCAGGCTGACCATGGGGTCTTCTACAGCAGTTCTACCCGAGGCCACTCGCTCACACCCAGAAGCTCGTTAATGGCGCTTCACCTGACTCTTCATATCTGGTTTTTCAATCAGGTGCTGCAGAGATTTTATGTTTATTTCAAACCAGGTAAAAGGAAAGTAGACAGCTTCTAGTTCCAGGTAAATGCTCACGTGTAAGATGGCAACTGGGATCTACCTCTGAGTTTGTTCCAGTGCAAAGCCCGGCACAGGCTGCTGCTGCACTGCAGGGCTTTGCACTGAAGTGGCCATCTACAGAAACTGAGCACTGTGGCTCAGCTCTTCTTCTGCGAGCTTACTAGGACAGCTCTGCTGCAGAAAGACAACCCACCCTGTGAGAAACTAATCAGGAAAGATTTATACAGATCCCCTTCTTCCCTTTCACAGCATTAGGGTCTTACAAGACATTAATCACATGGAGGCATTTCATTTATGAAGCAGTTTCAGGTTAAGTATTTATTACATTCCTTATAAAACAGTAAAAAGCATCAGATCCACTGTGACAATCTTCCCAATTCAAGACATACAAAGAGATATTGCAAATAAATTCTTTTCAGCACTGTGGATATAAATTTTGAATTAATATAATCTATATAAAAGTGTCACATTTCAGGTCTTATAAGATAGGGTTTTTTTTTTCTTTTCTGTAAAAAAACCCAACCCACAAATAAACAATCTTTTGATTTCAGTCTCTGGCCCTCACAAAAAGTTACACCAAGCTGGCCAGCCAGGGTTAGTACCTATCCATACCCTTAACCTCAACGTGCCTGCATGTGTACAGGTTAGGGTCAGAGAGGTAAAGCTGTTACTGCTCATCCTCTACGGGGTGCATCAACACCATCCCAAAGAGACAAATGCCGAAGGACAGCTCTAGATGAGACAGGCAAAAGGATCTCTTTAGATCCATAGGGATCAACTGGCATTTCCCATCCTGCCCTTCCTCAGCCAGGAACACCATGCTGCTTCCCTTCCTCCACCTCCCTTGTCTCGATGTTGTCAAATGATCACTTGATAGCTGGGCTGTTTCATCTTCTGGTTCATTTCCTGGAGTCTTGAAACATTCTGGTCACTTTCAGACTGATCAAAATCCATGTCTGGAGAGAGTAATGCCTAGAAAGGAGAACAGACAGATGCTGACAAGAGTGAAAGTTCTCAGCTCTTCTTGATGCTGAAGGGGTCAAGCAGCCCTAGAGGGATCTGCTGCAAGATCTAATCCTCTCTGGCAGATGGGAAAGGTCTCAAGGTCACCTCTCCAACAACAGCTAGACAGATCTGGGCACAGGCAACATGATGATCTGGTGTCCCAATACCTCTCCCTCCCCCATCACCCTCAAGAGCAGAACAGTCATCTAAAAAGCTCTGTTCGCCCTGGGACACGACTCGCACACAGACATGCATGTTCAGGCCAGGCTGCAGCCACAGTGGAGATGTACAAAAATTAGGTCACATATTTTGCAAACAGCTGTACCAGATGTAGACCTTCTTCCCAGGCCCCCAGCTACTTGCTATCTCCAGAACTCAGCCAGGAGAGCAAGCAGAGCTGCAGAGTTAGCTTCAGCCACAACCAGCAAGCTCAGGAGTGGTGCCCTAGCCTAGTGGCATCTTATTTCTACCTGGCACAGCAGCTCCTGGCTCTGTCTGAATTATTGGAACCAAAACAAAGCAATGACGCCTCTCACCAGTACCTCTCTAGGTAAGAAAGGCCACAGCTTTGCTGCAGGATCAAGAGGCTGCTCATGGCCTGCAGGAACACCTACCCTCTCAGGAGCTAACTTAGGGCTTGAAGCTACAGGCTGTTTTGAGCTAACTGGCTGCCACCAGCCTGGAGCATTTGCACGATGCAGACAGAGCCACGCGTGGGGCATCCTCCAGCCACATCATCTGGAAGAGGAAAAAGGCCGGATACTGTTCAGGCTGTGGCTGTGCTGACAGTAGAAGAGCTGAAACCCAATAACCAGCCAGCCAAGTAAACTGAATGGATGAGCAGCTTTTGCTCAACTCCATCCTACCCCTTCTTCTTACCTCAAAACCCCAGATTTGGGCAAGGGATGCCCTACCCTCATTAGCCCTGACAGTAGTTAGCTCTAAGCACAGCTGCAGTGCAGTCAACCCTTGTGCCACAGCTCGTGTCATGTCCAGCAGTCAAGTCATGAGATTTCTGGTCAACAGCTGTCACATCATCAGAAGCCTGGCCAGGTCCTTGGCACCTCAGCACCCAACTCCACAGATGGGCTCCTCTACATGCCCATCACAGAATCCAGATAACGCCATCAGTTCACGGCTGATGCAGCAACAAGGGGCAGGTACCACAACCATCCCCACAAACACAGCTTTCCCTGGCAAGGTGGTGTAGACCTCACACACAAGCCTCAGCCCCATCTGACCCCATTTTGCTCCAAAGACTGAACCAATCCCCTGTGAAGCTTCCCCGTGCCTGAGCCACCGCAACCTTCCAGCTCAAAGGCACAAGTCAAGGGATGGTGTTTGGGCTTTCAGCCAAGCACGTTCACTCACAGAGCTTCTCCAACAGCTTGGCCAGTCCTGGAGTTTGTGTGAAACAAGAAGCATGGGAGAATTAATCTTATCCATGGCTATCTCTGGGCACAGTTGTGAATTAACATGCCCTCCACTTGTTAGCACTTAGGCAGCACCACCGGGCCAGTCACCACAGCAACAAAATGACAAAACAGGAAAAACAAAATTGCAGTGAGTCAATGACTTCAAAGGAACAGAAAGCCGCAGGGGAAGATTTCCTCCCCACCCTGATGAACACTCTAGCCCCTCTATCTGATGTTGTAATCTTCACAGCAGCATGTCAGATATTCAAAGGATGACAATACGTCCATCCCTCCAATTCATCTCCAGATTTTTTCTTTCTTTTTTTTTTGTTCAAGACATGCACTGGCAAGTTTCCATCTCTTCCAAGCAAAGATTTCCTCTGTTTATTATATTAATATTGTGATGCTGTTGAACCTGAAAAAATGGGTAGATAATTAGTCACACACAGCCTTATAAACTCCCTGAATTCCAACAGGCTGCAGCAGGCTAGCTTGGAGGCCTAATGAACTGGTAATTTCAGAGGGTTTCAGCTGAAAACTCAAATCCCCTTGCAACCAAGCATGGGTGATGGAGCAGGCACTGAACACTGCACATCCAGACACGTTCAGGCTGCTACCTGCCCACCACACAGCTCGTACAAAGCAGCTCGAGCCAACAGTCCCCTGGTAAACTTTCCACAGCTCCCCAGGGAGCTTCATCACGAGACAGCACCTCATTGCTATGACAGTCATGGGATGTACCCTCAGATATGGTTTTCAAGCCAAACTCCAAATTTGGGATTTTTCAGCACAACTTGGACAAGGCGCTTTGCCTTGCAGACGCATCCAGATCAGGATCACAGCACGTTGGTGGCACAGCTGGGAACGGACCATGGTTTCCCAGTCCTGGGACAATGTGCTACTGTCTCACTCAGCAGTCCTCAAATACTTCACGCATTCCTCCTCGCACCAGGAGGCCAGTAGCTTGCAAAACAACATGGGTCACGCTACCAAAACTGGGTTGCCCATGCACTCTGCCAACCCTTCCTGTCTAGAGGAAGAGGCTGCCTACTGGGGTCTGGTACTCCACCCAGGCAGACTCTTCAGATGACCAAGCCAGCTCAGTGGCAGAGACAGAAATTGCACAGATGTGCGAGAACTATGAAACAAGGCTGTAAAACAAAGCAGCTCTGGAACCATTTCCCTGCTAACCACAGAAACCTCTGCATAAAGCTACACCAGCCTGGTCCAGAGGTAGGATCCATCCCACCATCCTCCTGCATCCGAGCTTAGATAATTCCCCATGAGTCAGTAGGATTGACAAATGTCTTCTTCCAGAAGCACCTCTATGCCCACCTTCTCCGTAAGCACCAAGCTATTTAAAAATCAGCTCAGTTATGCAATCAGCAAACCAAACTCACTCCTGGAGTATTCTTCAACTCTTAAAAGCAAGCAGCCTAAGTATTGGCATTCACCAGCATCTTCAGTCTAGGGATTTGTCAAAAGCCACAGCTCCTATGCAGGGAATTGGGATAGGTGCTGAACTCCATGCTGACCAAAGGCAGGTCCCTTGTAGTGTGTATAATGTACGCAGTGTTATTTAGTGTGTATATAAGTAGTATATTAGCTTTCCTCTCAACCTTAAACTAGACTCTAATTTCACCCTAATCATCCTCACAAATACCAGTGTTATTAGACCAAATTTTGCTTTAAGGCTTGTCTCTGAAAATGTAAGCCTTCAGAAAAGGAGCAGAAACACACACCACCCTTGCGGAAAAAGAAATAGAAACAAGTTAAAAAAAAAATCAAATAAAACATTATTAAAACTGAGTTGTTTTCGTAAGTGGAGGAAACAATGAAATCACTGATAAGATCTGAAGTTTGTTGGCACTTGCAAGGGCAAAGGAAAAGAGACTCAGGTCAAGGGCACGACACGCACAAAGCAGAAATAAAAGGGTCATGCAGATGAAAGCACTTCCAGAGCCTGAACAGCAGTGGATTCAGACTGGTACTCTTGAGAGATCTCTTTTTTTGCCCTCTGAGGGCAAAAAAATACTCCATGAAGGTTTACCAAGGCAAGGCACTAGTCTGAAACAACAGAAAGCTTTAAAGACTGACTCCGAATGAACAGTAAAATTCTCCCAGCCAAGAGTGAGTTTGTCCCTGTCAGAGATTCAGTGCTAATAAATAAACAAATAATTAAATAAATAAATAAGGTTTAGCAGTTTCTCCATTATCACATTTGTGGTTTGCCAGAGGATCCTTAAAGCCTACAAGAAGCTGCCAGTTGTCAGGTCTACACTGCAGCCATGGAGCCAGTGGTATCCTGGGGTGCATTAAGAAGAGCGTGGCCAGTAGCTCAAGGGAAGTCATCCTTCCCCTCCATTCTGCCCTGGTGTGGCCACATCTGGAATACTGTGTCCAGTTCTGAGCTCCCCAGGTCAAGAGAGACAGGGAATTACTGGAGAGAGTCCAGCAGATGGCAACAAAGATGATTGGGGGACTGAAGCATCTCTCTTAAAAGGAAAGGTTGAGAGCACTATTTAGCCTGAAGAAGACTGAGAGGAGATCTTACCCATGTCTATAAGGTCTACAAATATCTAAAGGGTGGGCGCAGAGAGGATGGAGCTAGACTCTTTTTAGTGGTTCCTGATGACAGGACAAGAGAAAACAGGCACAAACTGGAACAGAGGAAGTTCCACCTAAAATAAACTTTCCATGAGGAAAAAACTTTACTGTGAGGGTACCAAATCACTGGCACAGGCTGCCCAGGCAGGCTGTGGAGTGTCCTTCTCTGGAGATTTTCAAAACTCACCTGGATGCAACCCTGTGTAATATGCTCTAGGCTATCCTGCTTCAGTGGGGGGGTTGGACTAGATGATCTCTAGAAGTCCCTTCCTACTCCAATGAGTCTGTGAGTCACCAAGTGACATCAGTGGCAGAATTGTCAAGTTTCTTCTTGCTATCCAGATGGTAGATGTGGCACTTCAGAATATAGTTTAGTGGCAATGTTGGGTTGATGGTTGAACTAGATGATCTTAGAGGTCTTTTCCAACCTTAATGATTCTATGGTCTACCAAGCCAAGGACAAAGCTCAGTTTTCCTGCTATCCTTATAGAAAATACTGACTGTTGGTTTTTAACAGGTTAATTCTAGCCCCCGCCCTTTCCATTCTCCTTCCTCTCTCCCCTTTTCCAAATACAAATTGCCAGTTCAAGTGAAAATAATGACACTCACTATTGGCGAGATAGGCAGAGGGTTGAAATTCAAGAAGGCATCATGATGGGGAGCTCTTGGCGCCTGCTGCTAGACAGCCCTGATGAACCCAGATAAACTGCAGGACACATTAGCCTCAGCCTGCTTTGTACAGAGAAGATTCTTAGCCTCCCTTGCTCTCCACGGGGCAGCAGGGAGCGATGAAATTCCCCCACCTGAACAGGTTATTAGAAACAACAAGCCCAGCAAACCCTCATTTTCTGTTTTGGAGCCCAAATTTCACCAATCCAGCTTTAAGGCCCAGACAGCTAACATAATCTTTAATTTACAGCCTAAAAAGTTGGCACGTGAACGAGAAGCCTATGGCTACACCTCAAGATCTAGTGCAGAAAAACCCACCAGAGTTGGAAAAGCAGGACATCCACTTTTGTATTTCTTCATTACCTGTCTTCTCTGCCCAAATTATTTGTGGGGCCAGAGGCACAGGAACACATCTGAGAGGAAAGGAGACAGTCCCCATAGACTGCTCCGGGTACAAACCAATCCCCTTGGTAGCTCCACTGCAGTGATGAATTGGAGGGTTTCAGGATGGACAGATGACCTGCACATTGAAAGTCTCAGAAAAAAATAGTCCGAGAAATAAAGTTGGGTACTTCGAAGATTGAAGAAGCCTTTGCCAAGAGTCAGACTGTGGGAGTCCAGTTGCTACCACTTAAAGCAATCTGTCTAGTTGAGCTACCAGAAGAACATTTCATACCTTCTGGAAATTAACAGATATCTTCCTTTCAGATTATCTAAAACTGAGCTAGAGGCCACAAAACATTTGCCCCACCTTCAGTGGAGCAAGGCAGAGGATCAGCCTCATTTCTGTGGAAAAAGATTAATTGGAATACCACCCATGTATCCACAGCAGCAAGTTATCTCTAACACTAGATGCTCCAAATTTAGGTTTAGAAGGCTCAAAAGGAGATTGGCATCTCAACTAGAGGTGCCACTTTCCTACCCCTTGTTTCTGAGCTGCTGTAATTTTAACAGATCTTAAACCTTCAGGAACACACCAGCATACCCAGTCAATAAGGCAGATCTTCACCATTGCTTTAACATTTGGAGCAGTTCTCCAATCTAGCTTATTCAAGGAGGTATCATTCCTGAACATCACCACTAAGAAATCTGGACTGTGCCATAACTAGATGTTCGTGCTCAGAGTCAATTCCACCTTCACACCCTAGGTATGAGTTCTCAGCTTCAATGCACAACTATCAGAGAATTACAGAACATCTCGAATTGGAAGGGACCTTAAAGATCATCTAGTTCCAACCCTCTGCCATGGGAAGGGATACTTTTCACCAGGCCAGGTTGTTCAAAGCTTCATCTAGCCTGGTCTTGAACACTTCCAGGGATGAGGCATCCACAACTTCCCTGGGCAACCCGTTCCAATGTCTCTCCCCCCTCATAGCAAAGAACTTCTTCCTAATGTCTAATCTAAACCTACCCTGCTCCAGTTTAAAACCATTGACCCTTGTCCTATCACCACATGCCCTTATAAGAAGTCCCTCTCCAGCTTTCCTGTAGGCCTCTTCAAGGCCTGCCTATCCTGCCAGAGGGAGGGTGCCTCCAACATCCCATTCCCATGAGTAACAGCCACTTCCCAACTGTATCCTTGAGCCATGGAAGCCATTGCTGATGTGCAGACTGCCAAGCACACCATTGAACACTATCACCTCCACATGCATTGCAACGTCACCAGTAGTTGGCCATCCCATTCATCAGCAAAAGAGCAGAGTGACGCTTTATGAAAGAGCTCTCAGACAGCAAGAGCTATCTGTGTTGATCCTAAATTCCTCAGCAGAAGCTACTCCAGGAGCCAGCCTGAAACCGCCAGAGGCAGCCTTATCTCAGCAAGTCTCGCCAATGAACTGCAGGATATCAGCAGTCACACACAGAGCACTTTGAAATGGGATCATGGTGTCAGGGGAAGGAAGGGAATTCAACCCAGTGACTCAAAGCTGTGGTCTCTGCCCAAAAGGTGATACAAAGCACAGATACCACCTGCTCAGCAAACTATGTGTCATTAACGAGAACAAAGTCTGGGACTGGAACACTTCCCCCTCCCCCCCATAATTTACACATCAAGCTCAGGCTACACCAAACCCAGCCTCCTACAGGTAAGGGACCATCATCTGGCTGAACAAATACCAAACACTGACAAAAACAAGATTCCCAGCTAGACCTTATCCTCTGAAAAGGATGCTACAAATTACAGGGAGGAAAGAAAGTTCTTCTAAGCTGAGATTAATTATGATTAAAAATGGCAAAGTTGAAAGAGATGGTGCAGAGGCACACACCAGCTTCAGCCTATCAACTCCAAGAATCCCACAGAGGTTAGTGCATAAGCTAGGTCATCCCTCACAAGATACTGTCGTAATTTTGGACAATATTTCAGCAACACTTTGTAAGTTGCAACACTACTCTTGGTTAGATTGGACCAGATCATCCCAGAAGACGTCCCTCTGTTGACCTCAGCTACAAGCAAGGAAAGTCAGTTTGACTTCGCAGGGTCATCGATCACATCTATGAAGCATCTCTCCAGGTCTAGGCAACATGGTGGCATGCTGGGTGATTGTGGTGAAGCACACAGACCATGCCACAAGCTTGCAGCTCAGTCTGAAACACAGTACGGCCTTGGTCTTACCTGAGATTCCTCAGTGCTCCTAGCCTGAGGAGTTTCTATGGATCCATTGATGTTCAGGGTATCCTTCTGCTTAGATTTCCTCATGATCAAGCTGTCCACAACCCAGAACGTAATGGCCTTGGGGAGAAAGTGTAGCATGAATAGACTGCAGAGACCAAAATATAAAGTCATTCAGTCACAGGTATTTCTTCTCCTTTTGGCTTCTCCAGATGTCCAGCCTTGACCAATCTAATTTACTATCCAAATTAACCCTGCTTAAGGGTGCCCGTCAGAGCCAAGTTATATTTCTGAGATCCCTTCTCACACAAATCCTATTGATTCCATAGTTGTTAAAGACCCAGTGAAGGAGAAAAAAAAAAAGAGCCACAATAGTCCAAGTTTCCATCAGGAAATAACCATTGAACCAAACTCCTGCCCAGTTTCACTGGCTCTGTCTGCATCCATCACTGGTGTGTTCTTCGAAAAAATGAGAAAAAGAGTTTGCTTTCAAATAGGGAAGTGCAGCCTGGGGTGAAAACAGAGGCTGGTGGCATGGGCAGGTAAACCCAACCTGGTGAATGTCGCATCCATCGCAACGCTGGTGGTATAACCTGAAGAGAATTTGACTCACTCCTTGTATGAGGGCAGGGGAAAATCTGAACATTAAAACCTTGTTCTCACTTCCCCTCATAGCAGAAACTAAGCAGCAGATCAAAGATTACCCAAAATCAGGAAAAAGCTGAGCTTTCAAGAGGTTTTACCAAACTAGTTTGGCAAAGATCAGTAGTTCTGGGTAACCTGAACACCTCACCTTGCTGTAATACAACTTGAAGCTTCACCAAATGGCTATGTTGGCAGGTTGCCAAAAGTCAGGACAGACAAGCCATCCTATAGGATCTTTAAGGACTTCGGGGCACTCCCATGCCTGTAGGTTACAGCCGAGACACAGCCCTCAGCTAACGAGCCCCAGCTTTCTTCAGAGAGTCAGGCACACAGCAGCTTGCACGAGGGAATTAGGAACACTGACCACGGCAGGGCAGCAGTGACATATTTGTGTATTCACAACAACAAATATATTTGTTCCTATTCCCCTCCACTCTGTTGCAGCCCCTTCAATTACCCCAGCCAGTTCCTATACCTGCTCTCCATTGCAGGACAACACACCATAACTTCCAAACCACCCCACCCAGCGCTTGCAGAGGCTTCACTTACATTGACTATAAAAGGCACAACAAGTGTGACGAGGGCAAGCTCCAGCTTGGGGTTTGGGTTGTAATCTGGGAAGATCTGCTGAAGCTGCAGAGGAGAAAGTGTACAGAAGCATTATTTGAACAGCTCTGTTGCAAGATCGCAGAATCACAGAATTGTCGAGATTAGAAAAGACCTTTAAGACCATTGAGTCCAACCATTAACCTAACACTGACAAGTCCTCGACTAAACCATGTCCCTAAGCACTATGCCTATCTGACTCTTAAATATGTCCAGGTAAGGGGACTCTACCAGTGCCCCGGGCAATCCATTCCAATGCCTGAAAACCCCTTCAGTAAAGAAATTCTTAATATCCAATCTAGACTTCCCTGGTTGCAACTTGGGGTCATTTCTTCTTGTCCTATCACTTGTTCCTTGGGAGAAGAGACCGACCTCCAGCTTGTTACAACTTTGCTTCAGGTAGTTGTAGAGAGTGAGAAGGTCTCCCAGCAGCCTCTTTTCCTCCAGGGTGAACAACCCCAGTTCCCTCAGCCACTCCTAATAAGACTTGTGCTACCAATCCTTCACCAGCTTTGTTGTCCTCCTCTGGACATGCTCTAGTGCCTCAATGCCCTTGTTGTAGTGAGGGGCCCAAGACTGAACACAGAACCTGAGATGCAGCCTCACCAGTGTCGAGTACATGGGTAAAATCTCTCCCCTGGTCCTACTGGACACGTTACTCCTTATGCAAGCCAGGATGCCGTTGGCCTTCTTGGCCACCTGGGCACACTGCTGGCTCATATTCAGCCGGCTGTCCATCAACACGCCCTGGGGCCTCTCTGCCTGGCACCTCTCCAGCCACTCCTCCCCAAGCCTGTAGCACTGCTGGGGTTTGTTGTGGCTAAAGTGCAGGACCTGGCATTTGGCCTTACTGAATTTCATGTGATTGGTCTTGGCCCATCGATCTAGTCTATCTAGATCTCTCTGCAAAGCCTCCCAATCCTCAAGCAGATGAACGCTTCCACCCAGCTTGGTGTCATCTGCAAACTGGTTGCCTTGTACCAGCAGTCTAGTCCTAGCTACTGCTCCAAAGCCTCCACTTGAATCCAGCTCTCAGACACATCACATGGGCTATTCCTTTAGCATAGCTGACAAACACAGGTTTTCATACATATAAAAAAATAAAGACTGCTAGTCTTGTGGTTTAACTACCTGTGACAACTAGGAGGACTTTCCTTGAGTCCTTGGAGCCTAGAATCAAAATGAGAACACCGGCCATGTGTGATAAACACAGAGAGGAATTCAGCAGCATCTCTGGATCCAAAAGTGTGTGCTACTGAACACGTGTTCCAGTCAGTACTGTGTGCTGCTGGGTTAGAAGCACAAGACCTTAAGAGGAACAGATAAGTGCTCCTAGATTGCTCCTCAGTCAAGTCATGTCATCCTGTGATGTACCAGGCACTATGTGTACATGCACTCAGGGGGCCAGGTTATCTCAGCTGGTTAGAGCGTGGTGCTGATAACACTAAGGTCACAGGTTCGATCTCCGTTCAGTCCGGATGTGTTGCCTGATCTAGTCAAGAGGTATCCCTGCCCATGACATGGAGGTTGGATTAAATGATCTCTGAGGTCCATTCCAGCCTAGGCCATTCTACGATTCTAGGATTTCTAGCAGACTCAGCTTTCCCCTGTGAGAAGGCTGCTGCTGAGAGGCATGTAATGATAAGAATGTGATTATAAGCTTAACTTGGATCACTAGGTATGTGGCAACTCAGGACAAAGTTTCTGCACACAGTATTGGAGTTAGCCATCAACACCTAGAATTGGCTTTCATACCCATCACACCTACCTGCCACCAGGTATGTGGCTACAACTGGCCCAAGGCTATTTTTTTTATTTTTTTGTTTTAAGGAGAAGCTTATGATCAAACACAATTAGTCTTGAATGAGCTACCACAAAGAAGTAAAGGGGCAGAAAGGACAGCATACTACTGGGTTAGTTCTTCCCAAATTAACCTCTAAGAGTCCCCCTCAGTTTAGCACAGGATCACAAGATAGCAACATGCACTGACTTGGTGAAATAATGTAGAAATCCTCTGGCAGAACTGCAATAGCTCAGCCTCCAGCCCAGCCCATTTTATCCTTCCAAGGACAGAAAAAAACCAAAACAACCTCAAGAAGCATCTTATTCTGCTGGCTTTTGGACTAGCAAGAGAACATACCAAAAGCCAAACTGTTATGAAAGTCATGTTTTCCCAAACTTAAGTAATAGCTAATTATTACAAAGAGATGTCATCAAGTCATAAAGATTAAAGATCTATGATGATGGTTACCACTAATAAGGCAAAGCTGACAAGAAACAAGCCACAACAGCTGTAGCTAGAAAAATACAGCTCAGGAGCTTACCTTTGTCCAACCAGGGATAAGCAGGACAAGGCTAATCACAGTCTTCTCAAAAATCATTATCAGCAAGTAGAGGATACACTGGCCAATCCAAGCAGTAGCTTGGGGAGGGTCACCTGGGAAAACAGCATATTAAATCTGAGACGGAGGAGAGGAGGAGACAGCCTTGCAGAAAAGTTACCTCATGCTTGATACCTGAGCTGATTAGAGGAACAGAGAAGAGCTTACATATTCTGCTGCGAGAGATACTCAACATTAAACTTAAAATTAGCAGAGAGATTCTTCTATCTATAGTTGTAGGAGCATATACCTGGGGTAGATGGTCCTTCAAAATTTACCAAAATCTAAGCTCAAATATTTCTAGTTTATAAAAAAAAATAAAAAAAAACACCACATGAATTTGACTTTGTACTAGAGAAAATTATCAGACTTTCATATCTCTTACTAATTGCAGCTCATTTTGCATCTTTGCAAACTGATGTAGAAAAATAAGCATGGAAAGGCAAAAATGCACCCCACTTCCATTGGCGCTGACTCCCCATTTCAGGGCAGCTATTTGTTTTTCATACTGCAGCTCTGCTTTTGAACTAAATTTGTCTATAAGCAGGAGAGCTCTCCCTCAGGAGCTACCACATACACACTACCACCACCAGCCTTTTGTTTAGAAGCTGGTTCACTTTTTCTACTCCTTTTTAGGACTGATTCTAAAATATTCTGAAATGAAGATGACAGTTAACCAGACCTTTAGTTAATTTGAAGGGCAAGCACGTAATGAAAGAGTTTCAGACATGACTAAAGAAGTCCTACCTACAACAAACCAGGTGCTAACAGTCTCACCTCCATCCCTGGAAAGGTGA